TTGGGGGCGGGGGGAGAGAAGGAGTTGACCTGTCTCTTGTTTGGAGAAGAGTCTTCCAATTCTCAGCAGAAAGAACCATTTGTGTGAAGTTTCCAAAGTGGGAAAGAGCTTGGAATAGTCTAGGAATTCAAAGGAAGTCATTGCATTGAGGAATTATTCTGATGCTCTCCATTCTTCCTTCCCCAACCCTGTGTTTGTATACTAGTAAGCTAAACTTTTTAATAAGCTGAACTCACTTTAAAAGGGAGGAGGCTTCAAACTTTTCCTTTAATTATCGATGAATTTTCTTTCATCAGTACTGTGTGTAGGCTTGATTGATTCAGGAACCTGTTATGTCAGTTCTTAACCTCTTTTGATTATTCAGAATGAAGAGAAGTGTTTGAAATTCTCAGGATGTTGTCTAGCTGAGTTCAGGTTATAAAACATGAGCTTAAGCAGCAATTTAGGATCTCTCTTTTTTGTTTGTTTTGTAATATTAAAGCCTACCCTCCAATACTTCATCTACCAAAGACCTTTAGCTTTAGATCAGACTTCACAGAGATGGTCCCTAAAATATGTTGTATTTACACCCCCTTCCCACCGTTTGCTTCTATTTGCCACCCAAACATTGCTTTTCGGGGAGTTGTTAATGACCATGCTCTTTCAAACAGCAGGACTCAGTTTTGGGACATAATGGAAAGCATTTCATATAACAGATAGTGGAGGTCCTTTTGTGTGATAAGCACTGCATGGGGCACTGGATAACCCTGCACACCTTTTCCCAACTTGGACCATTCTTGATGTTTGTGACTCAGGAGTGGTCCAAGTTAGGAAGTATTGTTTGCTTTTTTAATATATATTTTTTAAATTGATTTCAGAGAGAGAAAAGATGGAGGAAGAAATAGAAATATCAATGATGAGAGAGAAAATCATCAACTGGCTGCTGCCTCTTACGTGCCCCTGCTGGGGATTGAGCCCCCAACCCAAGCATATGCCCTAACTGGGAATCATGAACTCCTAGTTTATGGGTCAACGCTCAACCACTTGAGCACACCAGCCAGGCTGGGAAGTATTGTTTTCTTAATATCATAATGCTTACGAGCCAGAGCTCCGGAGTCCTGGATTTGAATCCCATATCAGGACCTAAGTAAGATATTTGTGACCGTGGGCAAGATATTTAACCTCTTCAAGCCACAGTTTCTCAATTGGAAAGTAGGATTAATGCTTACCTCACTGGTACTCTGAGAATACATATAAATATAAGCATGGAACTGGCATATACTAAGGGTGCTATACATGTTAGCCATCATCATTGGTAAAAACAACAATACTTTTATTTATAATGGTCTCATTAATGGTCTCTTTCATTATTAATAGACGAGTCCCTAACCACTCATGATCCACTCAGTTTCTTCAGCTTCATTATTAATGGGTCCTATCTTTCTCTCTAACCTGTTGATTTCCATTTTTTCATTATTGAGCATTCCCCCTCAGAATATGCTTGATGAATCTTTATTCTACCTGGGTTCAGGTAACTGTTCTGCCATATACAAGCTCTGTGACCTTGGGGAGATTACCCACCTTTTCTGAACTGAGTATTTCATCTGTTAAAATAGGGATAATACCTACCTTATAGGGCTATCATGAGAATCACAGAGTAATGAATGTGAAAGTGCTTTGAAAATAATAAGTATATAAGAATTGTTATCAGAGATGATAACCTGCTTTAGTTACTAGTCACTTAAAATGTAATAGATGTAAAAGATCTCAAAAACACAAGAAGTTAAATTTATTATAGAAGAAAAAGCAGGGAAATATAAAACTAAGAAATGTCAGTTTTTTAAAACTTAAGAAATTGCTTAGAATCAATAATTGATTCTGAAAAACATGGAGGCATTTGTAAAGTACTTGTTATAGGAAATACAGAATATGTTGTAGGTGCCTCTGATTCTCTTGATATGCTGGTTTAAACAGTTATTCTTTTTTACTTGGTAGGTTTCAAATATAGATGTATAATAAAACTTAGGGACATTTTATAAATATCAACTGAACATTTTATAAATATCAATTGAAGTAACTATGATAGTGAGATTCTACTTTTAAAAAACATTCAAAACTTTTAAGTATAATGAAGCATATCTGTTAAGAAAAAGTGAATATTTAAAATCAATATGCTTTTTCTTACAATAATATTGGAATATATACAATATGTATGAGATGCCCTATGTGTGATTCTATTGGACTATCTATTCAACATTTAGTCTGTGGTTTTCAAGAACCACAGGAGGGCACCTTTATCTTAATTTTAAAGAACTGAATTGTGTGGACATTGGTTATACATAGTTCTAAATCCTAGAATTGCTTGCCTTTCTCTGTGTTGCATACTATTTCTTTTACCATTTATTTGCTATAACCTGATACCATTCCAGCTCAGAAAATTAGTTCCCTCTGAAAGCACATATTGCATTACTCTATGTTCCCTTAAAAATGAGAGCAACCCTAGTGTTCAGTTTTTTTCCTCACTTGAGGATGTTTATTGATTTTTAGAGAGAGAAGAATGGGAGGGAGGGAGAGAGGAAGAGAGAGAGGGAAAAACATTAATGTGAGAGTGAAACATTGATCAGTTGCTTGTACTTGCTCCAAGTAGAGATTGAACCAGAAACCTAGGTATGTGCCCTGACAGGGAATTGCATTCACCATCGTTTGGTGTATGGGACAGCACTCCAACCAACTGAGCCACCTGGCCAGGGTCCTAGTGTTAAAAATTAAAATGTAGAAAAACATTGCTTTTAGTATACTTCTTTTATAACATTTCCCTTTAATGTATCTTATCACAGTGAATGTATGCTGAAGTTGTTGAAGGTGGGATATTAGTTAATCCTATATTTTGAGTCATGTGTTCTTTTTTCGTGAAGTTCTTTCTTTTTTAAAAAATATATTTTTATTGATTTCAGAGAGGAAGGGAGAGGGAGAGATAGAAACATCAATGATGAGAGAGAATCATTGATCGGCTGCCGTCTGCACGGATCAAGCCCGCAACTTGGTCATGTGCCCTTGACCGGAATTGAACCCTGGACCCTTCAGTCCGCAGGCTGATGCTCTATCCACTGAGCCAAACTGGCTGGGCATCATGAAGTTCTTTTTAAAATTATGTTTCTTTTACCTAATTTGAGAAGCTGGATTGATTTGGGCCCATAGAATTTTCCTTATTTTTCGGGGTCTGGAGATCATAATTAACTTCATCATGCATAATCCAGGTCAATCTCTTTTGCAGTCTCCCTCTCTGGAAGATAGAGATGGCCCAAATGATACAACCTGTGAAACTTTAATTCAGACTTATAATAGGAAACTAATAGTTAAGAAAGCTCTTTTTCTCTGTCTTTACCTAATTTGATGCTCATATGCATCTGTTAAAGGGTAGTTGGGCATAGTCTTCTTTCATAGATCGGGGAACTGACTTTTAAGTAATTTGCTCTAGTAGAGGTGGGTTTAGCCCACCTGTATGACTGATAGCTATTGTTCTTTTTTCTACTCTACTACACAGGTTCACGTGGTTCTCTGAGCTCTTTTTAAGTCATTTTATTTTTTTAAAATATATTTTTATTGATTTCAGAGAGGAAGGGAGAGGGAGAGAGAGAGATGGAAACATCAATGATGAGAGAGAATCATTGATTGGCTGCCTCCTGCACACTCCCCACTGGGGATCAAGTCTGCAACCTGGGCATGTGCCCTTGACTGAAATCAAACCAGGACCCTTCAATCTGCAGGCCGACGCTCCGTCCACTGAGCCGAACCAGCTAGGGCTCATTTTAACTGTTCAGAGCTGAGAGAAGAATCTTTGCCAGAAGTGAGGCAGATTCCGGAATAGAAGGGAAAGATCACTTTAGGTTTCAGTTAGGGGTGGAACGCTAAGCATTCAGCCACACTTGGGTTGATTTTGGAGCTGTGGTGCTTGTTGATGCTCCTGTATGAAACAGATGTGAACTTGTTGGAAGGTTTCCAGTTGCATTTTGAATTTGGAGGCATTTTGACTGGGAATTTACAAGCAAGTAGAAAACTTTAATTAGGCCTTGAGGCCCAAGAGGTCAGTGTAAAAATGAAAGGTAATAGAACTCTTTGAGCACTATATATAATATATAAAAGAAATTTATTTAGCATAAAAGTTAATACCATGCGTTGCCATCCTGGATAAGTCTGCCATCTGCTTATGGGCATGGGTTAACTTCTAGCCCTTCACCCCCAACTCCAGAAAGTCTTCATGTATCTCTTCATACTTTCAGGTTTGGGACCTAATGGATACTTATAGACAGGATTCAAGGGCAAGGAGCGATAAGATTGGCCTAACTTTGATAGACAGTGAAAAGGAGCATTGGCCACTAGTTAAACAGAACTCAAGTTGGACCTTTTGAAAGAAGGTAGCAGTCACAGCTTGATTCTTGAGGATCAATACATCATTCTCAGCACAGGGAAAGATGATTGATGTGGATACCACAGTAGTTTTTCCACACCATATTTTATCTTACCAAAAATCACTCCAAATTTTAAAAAGGGAAAACAAGGTAAGTGTTGCCAGAGATAGCTCTGCTATGTATTTG